CTGCCGTGGCCGGGGCTCAATCCCTGGTCGGGGAACTAAGGTCCTGCAAGCCACGTGGTGTGACCAAAAAAAAAAAAAAAAAGGAGGATTGAGTAATGAATAATGTTGATGTTGATGTTGTTTGGGGTCAGGATCCTAACTGTGAAAATATGGAAAGAAATATGGAAGTGGGGAAGGTAAGGAAGAACCCTGTGGGTTTGATTGGATAGGAATTAACAGTGTTAATATGAAATAATTATATCTCATATATGTGTGTGTGCATCTCCTAGCTCTGTCTGCTGCAAGATTCTATTTGTAATGACACCCAGTAGTAATGAGCACACTTAGCACTCAGATCTCAAATTTAATTCCTAACTCAAAGGAACAAGAACTTATTGGAGGAATGTCTCATTTTGTTGCAGGGGGCAGGGAACATAAATGATAAGCCTTAGAAGACCTTGTGCCAGAAAGTTAAAAAGTACTTTAAAAAAAGAAAAAAAAAATGGGGCCTGTCAAAAAGACATTGGAGCCAGCTTAGAGGGGCTCCCACTGGCCAAATCTGGAACAACTTGAACATCAGTATAAAGATAGTAATGGATTATAACCCATTTAATAAAATAGGACTTCATAATTTCCATGATAGATGATGGATGGATGGATGAAAAGGGGGGTGTTTTCCTTATAATAGAATGCCTGACTGATAAATGTGAAGGGAATGGTAGAGGTGGGGGGAGGAAATGAGCATTTTGTAATCGTCATAGTGAAGATTGTTTTGGGCTATTATCTTTAATGTTTGCTAAATCTAAGGGAAAATTTTGATGAGCAGGATGTTTACGTGGTTTTAAAGTATCTCTCCACAGATTGTTAGATACAAGGTAGGAAACAGTAACTTTAACTATACACATTGGAAAAACACAGACAGCACCTTTAGTGGGTGATGAAAATTGGTAACACCAATGAGGAGTGGACACATTGTATATACCTCCAGATATGATACCCTGGGAAGGACACAATATCACTCTTATAGTATTCTTGCCGGAGGTGTATAATCAGAATCTAATCTTGAAGAAATTTCAGACAAGTACAAATTTAGTTACATTCTCTAAAATACCACTGTGTATTCTTCAAAAATGTCAGTATCATGAAAGATAAAGAGGGGCTATGGAATTGTTCTAGATTAGAGAAGACTAAGTAAGCACAATATGTGATCCTGAAGGGAGGGAAAAACATGTTTGTGAACATTAAATATTTTTACTTTTTGCTTTTTAAAAACATGAATAAGCAAAAGTCGTATCTCCTTTTAACTTGGTCATTTAATTTTAATCATCATTACTAGTACATTTGGATTTTAATAGTCAAGTTTTAGTTTAATTTAGTATTTTAAAATAATATTAGATTTGCAGATTTCACAGTTAGTAGTGTTTTCCCCTATAATCTTCATCTAGTTCCCCTAATGTTAATATGTTATGTAATCATGGTACATTTATCAAAACTAAGAAATCAACATTGATAGGATACTAGTAACTAAACTACGTACTATATTCTGTGTACTAAATTTTACCAGCTTTTCCGCTGTCTCTTCTCTGTTCTAGAATCTAATCCAGTATACTTCATTGCATTTAGTATACCCACTTTTTTTTTTTTTTTTTTTTTAGTATACCCACTCTTAAATTAAGCTTTGTCTTAGGCTAATTAAAAGTGTAGCTGTGGGGCTTCCCTGGTGGCGCAGTGGTTGAGAGTCCGCCTGCCGATGCAGGGGACACGAGTTCGTGCCCCGGTGCGGGAAGATCCCACATGCCGCGGAGCGGCTGGGCCCGTGAGCCATGGCCGCTGGGCCTGCGCGTCCGGAGCCTGTGCTCCGCAACGGGAGAGGCCACAACAGTGAGAGGCCCGCGTACCGCAAAAAAAAAAAAAAAAAAAGTGTAGCTGTTTAATGCAAAACAGTGGAATTAGGTCCTTACCTCATACTATAGAAACTATAGAAAAATTAACTAAAAATGGATCAAAACCTCAATGTCACAGTTAAAACTATAAAACTCTTAGAAGAAAACATAGGGGTAAATCTGCATGTCTTTAGTTTTGGCAGAGCATACTCAGATGTGACACCAAAAGCATGAGCAATAAAAGAAAAAAATAAATAGACCTTAATCAAAAATAAAAATTTCTGTGCTTCAAAGTACTGAAAAGACAACCTACAGAATAGGAGAAAAAATTTTGTAAATCATATATCTAATAAGGGACTTGTGCCTAGAATATGTAAAGAACTCTTATAACTCAATCAAAAGACAACCCAATTTAAAAATGGGCAAAGCATCTGAATTGACATTTCTCAAAGAAAGATGTACAAATGGCTAAGGAGCACATGAAAAGATAATATCATTAGTCATGAATCTTGAAAAAAGCCAGTCACAAAAGACCACATATTACATAGTTCCATTTATATGAAATGTCCAGAATGGTCATATCTCTAGAGACATGGAAAAGTAGATTAGTTGGTGCTTAGGGCCGAATGGGTTTTTTTTTTTTAATGAAGAAAAGAATTTTATTGTAAAATACACATAAAATTTACCGTTTGACCATTTCTAAATGAACAATTTGGAGTTTCTTTTTGAGGTGATGAAAGTTCTAAAATTGTAATGATGGTTGCATATATCTGTGAATGTTCTAAATGCCACTGAATTGTACACATTAAAATGGGTGAATTGTATGGCATGTAAATTATATCTCAGCTCTTATAAAAGAGCGCAATATAGCTCTTTAGACATGATTAAAATAAAGAGGTTCGTAGATAGATAAGCAGAGAACATTTTGGAAAAATAAATTTATATTCAAGCAGGATGTCTGTGGATAGATCCGCTTCACCCATTACAATAAGTGGTGCCAGTTTCCTAACCAGTACACCGGTAATTGAAATTGGAATGTGATTAAGTTTCCCAGGGCGCACTTAACTGAGTGTCTTTTTTTTTTTTTTTTCCCCAAGCCACTCTGTTGAGATAAAATTTACATACGTGCTGTCTTTTTTAACAAGTTTTAAAGTATAAATTACATACCATAAGTTCACCAATTTAATGCCTACATTTCAACGATTGTCAGTAAATATCTGTTTTGCAGCCATCACCATAATCTAATTTAGAACATTTTATCTTTGGGAACTCATTAAAAATCTGAATTGAAGATGAGTTCTTCCAACAGATGATTTGAGGTGGTTTTGATACTTTTAGTGAACCCATTTAAAATATTTTGCAGCTAGTCTCATGTGCCTTCTTAATATATAATCATTTTTTTAACACATGGAAGTTTGGCTTTTCTAGTTAACTGTCGTGTTTCTGTTACATTTTTATTACCTTTTTTCAGAATTACCTCAACAATGTTAAGTAATAATTGTGATAGCATTTTAGCATTCTTAAGCCTGATTAGCAGTAGTTTACAATAGAGGTGATTTATCATGTTAAAGAATTACCTTTCTAATTTGTTTCCTAAGAGTTTGGCCTTCTTTGCAATTGAATACATTTAGAGTTGGGCACTTCTGCATTTTCGGGATTTATTGAGCATTTATAAATATATGTGTGTGTGTGTGTGTTATTTGTTTGTTTGTTCCCCCTTTAACTTTTACAAATTGTGGTAAATTATGAAAAATTTTTTCTAGTATTAGAATCTTTTGCATTTCTGTAAGTTTATCCAAATGAAAAACTGTATATATTAGTGTATTTTATCCAAATGAAAAATTATTTTAATGCTGTATAATATTTTAAAAATTTTATTTAGAGTTTTCTTGTCTATATTTACAAGTGAAATTGATACCTAACTTTCTATTTTGTGCTGTTTGTGAGGTTTTAGTTATTGGGTTATACTGCCTTCTTAAAATTAATGGGCTAGCTTTCCTTTTTTTCCCCCCTTACATCCTGAAAAGTTCACCTGGTAAAACTATTTTCCACTGAAGAGTAGTTTTTTTGTTGTTGTTGTTTTGTTTTGTTTTTTTGGTACGCGGGCCTCTCACTGTTGTGGCCTCTCCCGTTGCGGGGCACAGGCTCTGGATGCGCAGGCTCAGCGGCCATGGCTCACGGGCCTAGCTGCCTCGCGGCATGTGGGATCTTTCCGGACCGGGGCACGAACCTGTGTCCCCTGCATCGGCAGGCGGACTCTCAACCACTGCGCCACCAGGGAAGCCCACCACTGAAGAGTATTTTATATTTGTTTGTTTGTTTATTTAATATTTGTTTATTGGTCTGAGTTGGGTCTTCGTGTGGCAAGTGAGATCTTTGTTGCTGTGTGTGGGATCTTCGTTGCAGCATGTGGGATCTTTAGTTGTGGCATGCAAGATCTTTAGTGGCGGCATGCGAACTCTTAGTTGCAGCACATGGGATCTAGTTCCCTAACGAAGGATCGAACCCAGGCCCCCTGCACTGGGAGCTCGGAGCCGCTGGACCACTGGGGAAGTCCCTATGTTTTGTTTTGCTTTTTTGCTGCTTGCGGAATCTTAGTTCCCTGACCAGGGATCGAACCCGTGCCCTCGGCAGTGAAAGCCGGGGTCCTGACCACTGGACTGCCAGGGAAATCCCCACTCAAGAGTATTTTAAAGACAATTCATTGGTGTTCTTTTCAGTCTGCCACCATTGTTTGTTTTTCTTACATTTTCTTCTTTAGATCAGTTTTAGTAATTTATTCCTTCCAGAAAATTGTCCGTTTCATTGAGATTTCAAAATTGATTAGCATAGGCTTGTATATATACTAGTCTTGTTTTGTCTCTCTGTTATAGTACTATTCAAATTTCTGTTTTTTCCTCTTAACTAGATCTCTCAAAGATAAACCCTGCTTTATATTTCTTTCCAAAGTACCAGTTCCTGGATGATTTGATATGTTTCACTATATGGTTATTGGGTTTTTTTGTTTTTAATGTTCTTTAAAGGCAGTTTCAATGTTCCTTTTGACATGGTAGCTCATAAATGCTTTTATTCTCAAAGAAATTATTGCCCAGATTTAATCTGTTAATTTTTACAATAGTTCTTTCTTTGTTTTTTTAGGCACGAGATGTGCGCACCAATGAAGTGGTGGCTATCAAGAAAATGTCTTATAGTGGAAAGCAGTCCACTGAGGTAGGTGAAATATTTATATTCTTCTTGACATGTTAGAAAAAGACATACCGTTTTGGTTTTTTTTGTTTTTTGTTTTGTTTTGTTTTTTTGCGGTACATGGGCCTCTCACTGCTGCGGCCTCTCCCGCTGCGGAGCACAGGCTCCGGACGCGCAGGCCCAGTGGCCATGGCCCACAGACCCAGCCGCTCCGCGGCATGTGGGATCCTCCCGGACTGGGGCACAAACCCATGTCCCCTGCACTGGCAGGCGGACTCCCAACCACTGCGCCACCAGGGAAGCCCGACATACTGTTTTTAATTGAGGGTAGCTGGGAATTCTTTCAAAAAAGTGTAGCCATACCTAAAAGTATATGAATATTAAGAATATATCTCAGTGTATTTTCTTTCACAAACTGAGTGTACCTTTTTAACTTGTACCTAGAGCCATAAACAGCATATTACTGGCATTCCAAAAGCCTACCTGTCCCCCTGCTTTTAATTTTTTAACTGTGGTATAATATATTACTTTATCTTTATCATAGAAGGCTTATCAGTTTCTAAAAGAGTAAACTAGAATAAGATGCATTTAACAGTAAATTATATTGGATGTAATTTTTTTAATGATTCAGACATGAAGGGCTGATTTAAGCAAACTTTAATGAGCAGACAATATATATCTAGTCTGAAAAATAAAAAAAATACAATTATTGATACTACACTGAGTATACTTTAGTTCACTAATATTGTGAGTAGTGCTTTTTAGTATATTTTGTTTAATTGCATAAATTTATTTTATGAAATATAGTCTACTTTTAAAACCTAGGATCTGTCAGTCTTTAATTTTTCAATGTAATTATTTTTAATTGTGGTAAAATACACATAACAAATTTACCATCATAACCATTTTCTAGTATGTACTTCAGTGGCTTTAAGGACATTCACATTGTTTTGCATCCATCACCACCATTCATCTCCAGAACTCTTTTCATCTTGAAACACTGCAGTTCTTTACCCATTAAACAATAACTCCCCACTCCCTCCTCCCCTCACCCCCTGGATATCACTCTTCTATTTTCTGTCTCTATGAAGTTGACTACTTTAAGTATCTGATGTAAGTGAAATCATGCAGTATTTGTCCTTTTGTGACTGGCTTATTTCACTTTACATAATGTCCTCAGAGTTCATCCATGTTGTGGTATGTGTCAAAATTTCTATCCTTTTTAAGGCTAATATTCGTGTGTGTGTGTGTGTGTGTGTGTGTGTGTGTGTGTGTAAAACACTACATTTTATTTATCCATCCATTCATCTGTCAATGGATGCTTAGGTTCCTACTGCCTCTTGGTTATTGTGAATAATGCTGCTGTAAATATGGGTTACACAAATATTTTTTTGAGTCCTTAGTCTCTCAGTACTTTAGGTATATGCCCAGAGTTGGAATTGCTGGATCAGTCTTTAGTTTTTAAAGAGTTTGGTTTTCTACTTTTTTGGAATCTCTTTATTTTATGATAAATCTTGTTTTTGTAATGATCATACTATGAATATGATAACACTATTATGATTGTATCACTGTTCCATCATTTTGATACCTAAAAAACTCAGTTTCTTACAGGATTACTCTCATTTATATTCTATTCTGTAGCACAACTTCTGAACTAAGCTTTCATAGGCAAACTTGTACTGTGTTGGAGTCTGTTTGATTAGTCACACCTAGAACAAAAAGTTTCATTTAGGGCATCATCTTTTCACATCTGATATTAACGTCTTTCATGAAATTTTTTTCAATTGAAAATTGCAGGGTTTTGTTTTGTTTTGAAAGTTTCAAATATCATTCAGACTTGAAATTTAAAGGCCATGAAACATTTTCTCAGTTTAGCATCTTATATCTTACACATTTTATATAAAACACTGTGAACATATTTTGCTGTATTTTGTTGAGGGCTTGTGAAATAACATCGGTGATATATGATCTTACATTCTAGTACAAAACATTTTTTAAAGTTTCCTATTATGCCAGTTTCCCTACTTTTAGAAATCTGGCCCAAGTCAGTGGTAAAGGTTGAAAAAACGAAAACAAAAACAAAAAATAGATTCCTCATTCTCACCCCACAGCTGCTAAGCCTCTAGAGTCTCTGGGTGTAGACCCAGTAAACAGTATTTTTAGAGTTCTCTGGTTGCTTCTTAAGAGTAACTATGTTTAGGACATGGCCTAAGTGTCTAAGGTTGTCATGGAGTAGCTTATGGCTGAAGGTTTATCTGTATTTCCTGGTAGGTGTCATTGAGGAATGCTCTTAGTAAAATATGTAGGGAAATGTTTTCATACTGTTTTTTTTTTTTTCTGTGAACTTTCCCATGTAATAACTAATTGTTCTCTAGCATTTTATTTTAGGAAGTGTGCACTTACGGGTTTAAATCTTCATTTGAATTTAAAAAGCAAACAAAACCTTAACATTTGGTAGAACACATAACCCAAAAACACAATAGATGAACTTTATGGTATGTAAATTATACATCAAAAAGCTGCAAATAAGAAGGGAAGATGAACTTTTGAAGAAAAATCACTAAATATGGTATATAGTTTTCATCAGCATGGTGTGTGGTTATAAAATTTTAATAAGACTCATTGATGATAAGTTTTACCAAACTAAAATTTTTCCTACCTTGAATGAAATAATTTTATAAATTATGTAATTGAGTTATAAACTATATGAACATAACTTTTTAATTTATTATTTTGATATTTACATATTACAAATGAAGTTTAATGTTCTCAATAACCCTTCTTAATCTGATAACTTTTTTCTTATATAACTTTCTCAGGAAAAGCAGCTGTTCATAATTTTTTCCTTTATTCGTTTTTTTCCTCCCCATAGAAATGGCAGGATATTATTAAGGAAGTCAAGTTTCTACAAAGAATAAAACATCCCAACAGTATAGAATACAAAGGCTGCTATTTACGTGAGCACACAGCATGGGTAGGTATATGCTTCCCGCTTGCTGTAATTTTAGTTGGTTTCTGTTTAGAGTTAATTATTTCAAGAATGTCTCAAAATGGTTGTGTAAGGCCATGCAGAAACACCTTGAAATGTTAGTTCATTCTGAGAGGGAGCGCAGCTTTTCCTAGAACTCCTAGGCAGGAGAGGGAATGTATGTTTTGTGAGTTTACTGCAGAGATTTAGCTGACCTTTATGTACATTTCTTGTACTCATTTTTTAAGGTAAATGGTGACTAGGGTTTGTTTTACTTCAAACACTCTTCTTGATCTCCTTGGTGAATTTATTTTATCTCAAGTAGAATCTTCTTAATAATATATTACATGGTACATGGTAAAATGTTCTCTGACATTTTTTAGTAGTATCATTCTTCAAATGGTTTATCAAACATTGTGAAAGCAATCCTGTTACTTGAGGATGAAATGTAGCCTATCTTTGACATAAACATATTGTAATCTATTTAACCACAAAGATCTTGGTGAAGTCCTGCTGAGTCCTGGTGAAATTTGAACTGATTATGATTCCTTGGCTGAATAATACTAATGCTAGAGAATTGAGACACTTTGTTACAAGAAGTGGTGATTAATTTTGCCCCATTGTTACCGCTGAGGTGACACGGTAGTAATACTGTAGCATTGTGGGCATAACTGTATCTTTTAAGAGAGAGGCTAAATTTTCTTTAAATGGGAATGATCCCTTATTTTGAATAATTAAGAAGTCACAGCTAATTATCATTTTAGTATCCTGAACCTAGATTTGTAATGTTTGGTGCATTTTTATCCAGTTTAATTTTGGTGGTGATGGCAGTATTCCTAAATACAAGGCTGTGGTTAAAGAAAAAGCAGTGACATTGGGGAGATTACCTCTCTGTCTCTCATGTTTCTCCATTTGTAAAATAAGGATAGTAATAGGGCCTACCTTATAAGGTGGTTGTGAGGATTTAATTAGTTTTTTTTTTTAATATTTATTTGGTTGCACTGGGTCTTAGTTTCGGCAGGTGGGCTCCTTAGTTGTGGCTCACGGGCTCCTCAGTTGTGGCTGGCAGCCTCCTTAGTTGTGGCATGCGAACTCTTAGCTGCTGCATGCATGTGGGATCTAGTTCCCTGACCAGAGATCGAACCCGGGCCCCCTGCATTGGGAGCGTGGAGTCCCAACCACTGCGCCACCAGGGAAGTCCCTTAATTAGCTTTAATATATATAAAATATCTGGCACATAGAAGGTGCTCTGTGTTTGCTTTAACTGTAACCTAAGCTTTGTATATATAGTTCCAAAGGAAAGTTTTTTGCTTCCTAGCGATTACTAAAGTATTGCTTCAGTACTATAGATTAATAGTAACAGAATATGTATATTCCTTTATAGTTTTAGTAGCAGTTATATATGAAATACACATCTTATACAAATGATTATATGTTGGTATTGTAAAAGATTAATGTATCATTAGCTTAACTTTACATATGCACTTAATATATTACTAGATACGTAAATACTCATTTTTTAAGGTAAATGGTGACTAGGGTTTGTTTTACTTCAAACTGTCTTCTTGATCTCCTTGGTGAATTTATTTTATCTCAAGTAGAATCTTTTTAATAATCTATTTTAATACTTATATAATTTTTCTTCCCATGTAGCTTGTAATGGAATATTGTTTAGGATCTGCTTCAGATTTACTAGAAGGTAGGTTCCCTTTAATCATTAAGAAAAAATAGTATTAGCAAAATAAAATGAGAATTCAATAAGAGGTTTCTTAAGTAATGTACAAATTTTCCAGAAAGAATAAAAATCTTAACCTTTCTATATTCTCTGCATAGTATGCACTGTCCTCATTAAATGTAATGTAATAGCATAAAAAAAGGGATTTTTCTCTCATTTTGACTTAAGTTTTTTTGGAATCTTTGTCATCCAGCTCCATCTGTTCCTTCTGTTCAGAATGAAGATATTAGAATAAAGGGAGAACTTTTATTACTTTTGTTTTTGTAATCACCAAATAATTGCTTAATGTTGTTAGCTTAGAGGAAAATTGGCTGTGGACTATATAATTTAACAGCTAGGCACAACTGTATACTAGTTGAAAAGTTCAATAGCATTATTTTATTATCTTTGGAAGGAAATCCCATCTTGCTAAATGTTAGTTTTTAAAAATTGCCCTATATATTAGGTATGTATTTTTAAACAAAAATGTTCTTTATAATAAATATTTTCAAATAACTTTCTTATTTTAAGTTCACAAAAAGCCATTACAAGAAGTGGAAATAGCAGCAATTACACATGGTGCTCTCCAGGGATTAGCCTACTTACATTCTCATACCATGATCCATAGGTAAGCACTTTGAAAATTATTATATATTAACAAGCAAATGGCTTGTTACATTATTCACTTATTAACCCTGAAAGTTTTGTTGGTTATAGCCAAATAAAACCATTTCTTATAAACTGAGGTTTTTTAGATTGTCCATGTTTAAAAGTACATACTGGTACACTTGATCTCTTTGTTTAGGATAATTTTTATCTTTGTCTACACATGTTGCTGGATTTTCCGAAGTTCAGGCATACCTCATTCTGTTATGCTTTGCTTTATTGCACTTCACAGATACCTCATTTTTTACAAATTTAAGGTTTGTGGCAACCTGTGTCAAGCAGGACTCTAGGTGCCATTTTTCCAACAGCATTTGCTCACTTTGTGTTTCTGTCACATTTTAGTAATTCTCACAGTATTTCAAACTTTTTCATCATTTTATTTGTTATGGTGATCTGTGATCATTGATCTTTGATGTTACCATTATGATTGTTTTGCCATTTATTAGCAGTAAAATATTTTAAAATTAAGGTATATACATTGTTTTTTTAGAGATAATACTGCACACTTAGTAGCCTACAGTATAGTGTAAACATAAGTTTTATATGCACTGAGAAACCAACAGATTCATATGACTTGCTTTATTGTGTATTCTGTTTGTTAGGGTAGTCTGGAATCAAACCTGTAGTATCTCTTAGGTATGCCTGTATGTGCACTTTATAGATTTGTGCACATTTAATTGAAATTAATTGTAGAATCATTTAATTTGGGGAATGGAAAAGACATTAGGGATTATATAGTCTTACTTTTTTCATTTTACCAGTGAAGCAACTGATGCCCCAATTTGTGACTAATTTCCCAAAGTTTACAAAGCCAGGTGGATTTAGACTAGAACTAAACCTAGATCTTGTCTTCCTGGTAACTGATAATGCCAGATTTATTCCATGATAGGGATAAATAAAAGATACTTAATACTTTTTATGCTTTGAGTATTGATCCTTGATGATCCTTGATAATGAATAGTAAAATTAAGCCATTCCATAATGCATTTTTAGCATTGGTATTGGTTTTACCTGTTTTAGAAGGAAATTAACATTTTTGGATTATATATGTGAATCAAGCAATACATGTTAAACTATATAGTAGAGTCAATTGTGAGTTAATGTGATTTTTTTTTTTTTTAAGATTAGGATTGTAAGGTCCAAGAGAAATTTACATACTAGTAAGTAAGTGAATAGAAGATTTAGAATTATAACCTAAGGTCTTCGCACCGTACAGCTTATGGGATCTTAGTTTCCTTACCAGGGATTGAACCCAGGCCCAAGGCAGTAAAAGCGCTGCCAGGGAATTCCCTAAAGTATCTCTTCATTTTTAAAAAACAAATGGAAGGAAAATAGATTAATTTAGTATTATGTCCATTACAATAGTAAGAATTGACAAGTGCTCGGAAGCTTAGTTTTTCTGTTTTTGAAAGGTTAAGTGTATGTTATGGTGCCTGTTGGACATACAGTCCCATTTTATAAATATCCATAATTTTCTGGGATCATGGATATTACATTATCCATATGTTTGTTTTCATATCCTAAGGGTGGAAATGATATGAATAATCCTTTTTTAAAAATTGGGGGCATGAAATTCTTTTTTTTTTTTTTTTTTTTTTACATTAAGTAGGTTACTCAGAAATCTTAAAATTATGAAGGAGTGGTCTGCTATTTAAATTTAATTTTTAAAACCATTATTTGTACCAATAAACAGGACCTCAGATGAAGACTATACACTTTAATTACCTGATTTTCTGTCTTGTTTTTACTGCTATTTTGCCTTCTCTTTTACAAAATTGTTACTATATATGAATTCTGTATTTTTTGTATTCTAATTTGGATCTTAATTCTCATCCCAATTGAGAGATTATCCTAGGACTTAATTATTTTGATTTCTCCTTCTCTGTTTTACAAATTCTTATTTGATTTTTATCATTTTTTTTACACAATCCAGTGAAGGAAAGAGAAATAATTTTCTGTGTTCCTTAAACCCAGAGATATCAAAGCAGGAAATATCCTTCTGACAGAGCCAGGCCAGGTGAAACTTGCTGACTTTGGATCTGCTTCCATGGCATCTCCTGCCAATTCTTTTGTGGGAACGCCATATTGGTAAGAATAATCTTATCTGGATTTGATCTTCATAATTGATATTGTGTGTGGTTGTGCGTCTTTAAGATGTCTTTTTCCTGAAAATATTATGTTATTTTGGACATTTTAACTTTAAGCATTACAGTTAGTTTCAAATATAGATTTGGAGTGCTCCCCTTACATCCCCCATTTTTAAAATTTGTCCCCCCTACAGTTTCCTTCCTATGATTATCTGCATCATGTATTGGGTGTGGGAGTGGAAACATTCAATAAAAATTCAAGTGGGGAAAAGATAGAAATGCTAAGTGGAAATGTGTGTGTTTTCTTTAGATTTATATTTACTATATATCATTGATCTTCAGACTAGGAGTACCTAAAGACTGGTAGTGGACTTGGAGTTCTCTGGGGTTTTTTGTTTTTATTTTTTATTATGGAGAATTTCAAATATAACACTAGACAAAAGTATAATGAACCCTACGAATCATTCATTCAGCCCAGCAACTTTATCCCCATGGCTAGTCCTGCCCTATGCACTCACCTCTCCCTTTGTTCCTCTCCCCTCAGTTATTTTGAAACATTCTAGACATCATCTAATTTTATCCATGAATAATTCATTATTAATGTCAGCAAGTTTGAAGGGAATAATTTTCCAGATCTTCAACTTTCAAATGTATCCTCTTTTTCTATGTATGCTGAGAGCTGTGTCTTAGGCCCACTACGTCATCTTTCTCACCTGCCTTTCAAATCTCCCTTCTCCTGCCTCATAAAAGAAAGGCTTCTAACCCACCCTGAATATTACAGTGATGCATTGCTCTGTGGTGTAAAAGCCTCAAAGTAACACCAGAGGAACAATTTGAGAAGATGTAGCATCTGTCAGATATATTGAAGAGTCAGGACAAAACTCTCGGCAAGTCATTGTACCTTTCCAGTCATCTGCCTTCCATTCCTTTTACCCTTTGCTTTTTCTTTCTCCCCAATTATCTTCCTTCTCTCCTTTTTTTCTAGTGCAGAATTCATAACTGACATGGTTGTCGTGGGGACACATAAACATGTTATTTGCATTGAATTCAGACTTTTTTCTGGCAGAAGGTGATTCTGATTTGACTGATTGATATGACCATGAAGACTGATTTTGCTAACTAGATTATAGGGCAGTGTTTTTAATAAATTGAATGAACTAATTCTGCAACTCCAAGTTTTTAATATCTTTAAAGCACGTACACAATATACATACATACACTGTGCATTATATCCTTTACAACTATTAAATTTATAAAATTTACATATCAACTCAAAAGTGTGCAAGGGATACACAGTTTTTATAAATTCATTGAAGGTAAATAAATGAATAAAAAATTTGAAGACCACTGCTCTAGATGACCAAAAATTTCTATGTAAAACCCTAGTTTAGATAGAGTCCCCCCCATAAAAAAGGGTTCTGTGAGTGTATAATATTTCTCAGTGCTTCCCCTCTTTAGATATTAATGATGAATATTAGATATTAAAAAGGCCCTCAAAAGTTCTGCAATAAAAAAACAAATTACTTGTTTAACTTTTCTTGATAATTTCTCAAACTTCCTTCAGCATCTTAAAGAACACATTGACAATTGAAAGTTTACAATAAAGTAAACATATTGGTTAATTTGTATATAGTGTACTTGGAACACAGGAACTAGGTTCATATTTATATGTCTTTACACAAATGCACATGTGCACGCACACACAAACACACACACAGGGATACCTGGTAATAATCTTATTGAAGCCGTCAGCAACTGTTCTAAGTACCTATCTGTGCTTAATACCAAATACATATGAAGTATAAGGTAAAGTATCATCAAGAACCACAGACTCTAGTTGAAGACATGAATTAGTGTTTCGTTTTTTGTAGGCTTTTTTGGGGGTTTTTTGTTTTGGTTTTTGTGTTTTTTTGGCTGCGCCGAGTGGCATGTGGGATCTCCCCGACCAGGGATCGAACCTGCCACCCCCGCTGCAATGAATGGAAGTGTGGAGTCTTAACCACTGGACTGCCAGGGAAGTCCTGTGTTTCATTTTATCACCAAGACACCATCGTTGGTTGGTTATAAAGTTGATAATTTTGTGATTGTTTTAGTTGTGAGCTGCCCTAGCCACTTTTATCATGGGACACTATTCTAATTTGAAAGAAAGGCTGACAATCTATGCTTATTCGGCGTTGGATATTGTGATAGGTACTTCCTGAAATAAATGGAGTCAGTTTGTCATTTCAAGGGAAACAACTGATGGTATTCAATGCCAATGGTAAAATTCCATCTTTCAAGCAAAAATTAGATGGAATCCTGAGACCAAAATGTTTGAGAATCACTGGCCTAAAGGCTATACAGTATTAGAATTTGCAGACTTGAACGGATGCAGAATACAGCCCTCCTCTAGGGCATCCTTCCTTTAGGATGCTGTTATAAGATCATGACACATGGTGAGAATGAGTCTCACACTGTATATGCAGAGGTAAATATTTACCTCACAACCTGTAATACATTTATTTCATATTATAAAAATTCTTAATGTCCAGATATATTGCCTGGAATTCACACCAGGTGTTCTCCATGTAGATAGTCATTACATTTTAAAAGAAAAGTATACATTTTTTTAACTTTAATTTAAATGACATTTTATTTTTTAGGATGGCCCCAGAAGTAATTTTAGCCATGGATGAAGGACAGTATGATGGAAAAGTAGATGTATGGTCTCTTGGTATAACGTGTATTGAACTAGGTAAGCATGTTCTTTATTACTATGTAGTAAATTTTGATCAAAGTTTTACCTCAATTTCTATACCAAATTACAGCTTTTTATTTTTTATGTTGGTTGCTAAGGGGAGCAATATGTTTATTACATAGTTTTCATTTTGGTTATCTGGTAATTTTTATATATATTAGCTTAGGTATATTGTATTTGCTCTGTTAAATTAGGTCTAAAATAATTTCCACTATAGTATTAATTAAGTTTGAGGTATCTATGTCTTATTATTAATGAGTATTTGTTAAACACTTGGAATATATATGTGATTCCTAGATTTACCATCTATAGATAGTCTCTGAAGCATTTATGAGTTACTTACCTTTACCTAGGATACTTATTACTTTGAGTTAGATTTAAGAATTAGCTGTCAGGCTGCATACATATTGTAGTAGTTTAATTTTATGCGCACACTCTGTTGCCCATAAATTGAACTGTGCTTAAAGCAGCGGACCACCATAACTTCACTAACATTCCCAATGTAAGTGAGCCAGGTGGGTAATTGAACTGTCACTGTAACTGAAGATGATGGCCATCTTCTTGCTCTTGATTCCCCAGGCTTCCCCCCACAAGCCCAATATCCTTTTCTTTTTTCCTTCTTATAAGAGCATTCCATTAAACTTTATTTAAAAACAAGAATATTTAATTGAACCATTCTAGGAGTGACCAAGAATTGAAAACACACTAAAGTAAAAATCCATGTGTAGGGCTTCCCTGGTGGCACAGTGGTTGAGAGTCCGCCTGCCGATGCAGGGGGACACGGGTTTGTGCCCTGGTCTGGGAAGATCCCACATGCCGCAGAGCGGCTAGGCCCGTGAGCCATGGCCGCTGAGCCTGCACCTCTGGAGCCTGTGCTCTGCAACGGGAGAGGCCACAACAGTGAGAGGCCTGTGTACTGCAAAAAAAAAAAAAAAAAATCCATGTGTAATTTTGACAAATCATATTTATTTTAAAGTTTGATAACAGCAGTAAATAGAGATTTGGCGATTACCATAATGCCATTCTCCTCTGATCTCTTCATCTCAGTTTGAGGTTTGCAAAATGTTTCTTCCATTTGAAAGTATCCTTAAGTGTCTTAAATTCTTTTTCTCTTGATTCTTCTTCCTACTGGTAGATCCTAATTACTTTCTTAAGAAACCTGGGTATAAATGTAAAAAAGCTGGTTAATATATTCTGCCCATGGATTATTTTTACACTCTTATGCTGGCTGATGCATATATGTGCCCCTTGGTGATAGCGAAATTGCATTAATGGTCCTGTTAGATATCATTGATATATTTTAATATTTATCTGATTAGAAAGTATTCATTGGCTAATTGTACTGCTCGGAAAGAAACCTCTCTAAACTCTGCAGTTTCTGTGAAATGGTTTCTTTTTTCCAGACTTTTCTAGCTTTTTATTGTAGTTCACAAGATAGAATTACTTCACAGTGAGAGTTTTTATGCTTATATAATAAAGCAACTTCAGAAGATGTGACTGCCTTTGGATAATTTCAAATGAGTGAGATGTCTTAAAGAAATTCTTAGAGTTTTAGGCATACATTTGGCATCTTCAACTTTTATAAATAGTCTTTCATAATCACTTTAAAAAATTTTACTTACAAATGTTTTGAATTATGAAGTTGTTCTAAGTTCAGGAACTATATTTTAAGCCTGCTTTGGGTTCCAAGGGAAGGGTCTAGAGGAGCACAAGCAAATAAAACTGTCTGCATCGGTAGAAATGTTCTGTGTCTCCATGCCTTTTGAGCACTTGAAATGTGGCTAATGTAACTGAGGAACTGAACTTAAAATTGTATTTTTCTTTTTTTTTTTAATATTTATTTATTTAGTTGGTTGTGCCAGGTCTTAGTCGTGGCATGCAGGCTCCTTGTTTCCACGTGTGGGATCTTCGTTGCGGCATGCGGAATCTTTAGTTGTGGCATGTGGTATCTTTAGTTGTGGCATGCAGGATCTTTTAGTTCTGGCATGTGGGAACTAGTTCCCTGACCAGGGATCAAACCCAGGCCCCCTGCATTGGGAGCTCAGAGTCTTAACCACTGGACCACCAGGGAAGTCCCTTAAAATTGTATTTCATTTCAATAAGTTTACATATAAATAGTCACATGTGGCTAGGGGGTACCCTGTTAGACAGTACAGGTCTGTAGGCATGCAAATTAGATTTGTAGTCTTGGGAACTAAATCTGTTACATGCTTTTACTTTAAAATAGTTAAAGATAGTGAATTAAAGCAAACTATTTTCTCATAGGTTGGTTATGTCTTATGACCAAGAAATCTTAAAGTGCAGGATTTTTCATAGGTCAGTTTATATGTTTGATTACAGTTAATCTGATGGAAAAGATCCCTGGTTTGTTGTTTTCAGGAATGATTGTACAATCGTGTTTATAAAAATAAATTTACCACTTTTTTCTGATTATAAAAGTGTATATTGAGGATGTAAAATTTCAGAACTTTAAAAGGAGTAAAAGGAAAATAAATCAAAATAAATATAACTACAGTAATTTGTTAATGTGTACACAGGATAGAAAGATGTAAACTGTGACATCAAAAACATAAATCAGTGGCGCACCTTGCAGCTATGGCGGCCTTGTGGTGGTGCTGTCCATTCAGCCGCTGGTGGTGGTGGCGACTTCCTCTCAGGAAGTCCTATCTCCACCTCCTGCTCCCACCACGCTTGCTCGGTGGCGGCACAGGCAGCGGTTGTCCCTGCCTCTCCGCCTCCTCCACCTTGGCCTATCCACCAGCTGGCATTGGTGGGGAGGGAGACGGTAGTTGTAGATGGCCACCCCTGCCTCAGAGAAGATACCACATTGAATGAGCAAAGAATGAACTTTTTACAGATACCTTTTATAAAAGGCTTATAAGGAATAGTGCCATAATTTGAATCACAATGGATTTCACATTATGAGGTGAATGGGAGTGAAGTATTGGACAAAAATAGATTTTTTAATCTCTACATCATGGTTTTTAGCTCCTCAGTTGTTGCACAGTCTCACTATTTGGGGAAAGTTCGTGCTAAAAAACTGAAGCAATTAATGGGTGAATATGATCAAATTTCTCCCCCAAGTTCTCAACCTGATAAGCAGAATCCTTTGTCAACCTAATGAAGTATTCAAGGAAGACATCTGACTCTTTTCAAGATGAACTTGAAGATTATATCAAAGTGCAGAAAGCCAGAGGCTTAGAGCCAAAGACTTGTTTCAGAAAGGTGAGAGAGGATTATTTGGAAACCTGTGGATACAAATAAGAGGTTAATTCTAGACCCAGGTGTAGAATGTTTGATCAAAGACTCCCTTATGAACCCGTCCAGACCTACCGAAGACCGTGCAATATTTCACAAGCAGTGGAGAAGCGGTTACCTCAGTGACTATCAGCTCATGACAGCAGGCTGAGACTGGACTCCCTGAACTACTGTCAATTCACCAGGGACTGTTTCTCAGGAAAACCAGTATCCCTGAACTTTAGTCAACAAGAGTAAAACTGTGGCTCATACAGTGTAGGATCTGGAGTTTACAGGCACCTCTCCTCAGAAAACAGTGCCAGTGCCCATCAAGCTAGTTATAAACAGATACATCAGAAGAGAGAAAGATACCCAGAGGAAGGCCAGGAAAAACCAGAGGAGGAGTGGCCCAAGCATAAGAGGAAGAAAGCTTATGAGGAAATAGATTTAGACAAACACAAGAGCATCCAAAGAAACAGAGGTGGAAACAGTCAGAGTCAGTACAGAAAAGCTTAAGAACCGAAAGGAGAAAAAAAGCTGAGGTGTAGCCTCTAAGAAAGAGGAACATAAGTGTAGAAAAGAGAAAAAGGAACAAGGGAAAGAAAGGACAGAAGAGGAGATGCTTTGGGACCAGTCTGCCCTTGGATTTTGAAGCTCTTGCATTGGTTCTCCTGAGGTTAAACTGAAGAAATAGTTAAGGAGCTTGGTTTTATGATGTCTATGTTCATATCGCTCTTTTCATGTGAACAGGTACAAAGGCTAAGTGAACAGAAAACATTTAGTGTGCTTGCTCTCCAAAATGGAAATTACTTTTCTGCTCCTAAAATCATTACTACATTTTTCTTATACATAATGTAATTTCCCTTGATGAGGGTGGCTCTGCTTTTATTCATCAAATTGCTATGATGGTGGAAGTATTTTTCCCTTGGGAGGTCATTTATTTTAAATTGCAGGATTAATAGGCTTTATAGAATCTATTTCTTGATTGGGTGTTAGTTTGGGGTGGGTGTTTTTATATTCATTAGTTTTCTCTGTGAAGCAGTTTACATTGATATTTTTTTTCCTTCATCAGATCTAACTTGCAGTATATTTTCTAGATTGGAAAGTGGAAAATGACATACATTATATAATAAGCTTAAGTTACATATAGTTTTAAATGTTTCAAAAAGTCTTGATACAAAATCAGTTTATATTCTGGAAATGTTTATAATATAATAAAGTTCTAATTTCTACAAAAAAAACCATAAATCAAAACCAACAAACGAAAGATAAAACATGGTGGTGGGGAGTAAAAATGTAGAGCTTTTTTTTTTTTTTTTTTTTTTTTTTTGCGGTACGTGGGCCTCTCACTGTTGTGGCCTCTCCCGTCGCGGAGCACAGGCTCTGGACTCGCAGGCTCAGCGGCCATGGCTCACGGGCCCAGCCGCTCCGCGGTATGTGGGATCTTCCCGGAGTGGGGCACGAACCCGCGTCCCCTGCATCGGCAGGCGGACTCTCAACCACTGCGCTACCAGGGAAGCCCTGCGTAGAGCTTTTTTTAAACTTAAGTTGTTATCAACTTAAAATAGACTATTATAAATATGTTGTTTTATATATTTTGTAAGCTTCATATCAATCACAAAGCAAAACCTCTAGTAGATACACAAAAGATATAGAGAAAGGAATCCAAACGTAACACTAAAGATAGTCATCAATTCACAAAGGAAGAGAGTGAGAGGAGAAGAAAGGAACAAAGGAATTACGAAACAGCCAGAAACCGA